TTTTTTTTAATTTTAATAAATAAATAAATAAAACTTACGAATGTAATAAAATGAATGACTAAAAATGTGTGAGGGGCTCAAGTAGATTTTTGCCCCCATCGATTGGCCAGGACTTCGTAGGCCATTTATCAAATGCGAGTACATACAACTGATGTTCCGGTGGGCCTCCGCCCCTCACCGCAAAAATCGACTTTTACCATCATGCAACTCCTCAACAGCCCACGTGACATTTCTTCTTTTTGGGCCAAGTGCAATTTCGTCTTTTCAACAATATCTTTTTGAAAAAAAATTGTAAATTTTAATAATAAAAAATATTATAATTATAATTTTATATAATATTATAAATTTATAACATAATATATTATTTTATAATTTTTTATTTAAAAATTTATTTATAATAATATATATATTTATTTAATATCGAGATACATTTTATTTAATATCACATAAAATTATAAATTTTATAATTTTATATAATATTATAATTATAATATTACTGTAATACAAATATAACATTTTAAAATAATCAATTAATAATTTTATTTAATTTAACATTATACTAATTATCATTAACTTTTTTTTTGTAATTTTATTTACATGATATGAGATAACTTTTTATTGTCTATTATTTTATTTCACTTACATGTCATATAATTTAAATTTCAAATTTTTTACTTTTGAAAAAAATGTTACTATTAAATTATTTAAACAATTGACAAATTTAATTTTTTTAGTACTAATTTCTTGACATTCAACAATACATTAAATTTCAATTAATTTAAAAACAAATCACATCAAATTCACAAAAAAAAAAAACTCTCTCAATATTTATTTCTCTATTCACAAAATTTAAAATTAAAATTTTATTTAAAAAAACAAATGAAACTCTTTCCACTCAAATAAGACAAAAAAAAGTTGTTGGTACAAATTTAATTTGTGCTATGGAACCATCCCTTCGTCTACACCGAATAAGCCAAGGAGCATTACATTGGTCCAAACCATTTATCTCGCCACCGCTGGCTCCTTTCTATTTTTTTTTCTTTTTGGTTTCTCGCCCGGTATTCGAGATTTCGCTCGACTGCCACGTCGCGCACCTAAAAATAATGGATGAATTTCTCAACGAGAGCTGCTGTGTACACAAGAACTCAAACTCATGACCTTATTTAAACTGAAATAATACGCTTACAACTTGATTCAACCCCTCGTTGGTGCTGGCTCCTTTCGGTTGGTCATAACGTAGCATTTAGCCTTTATTTGTTTTTTTCCTTGTTTTTACTAAATGCAGAAGAAATTAAAAAGGATGCATTGAAATATATATATATATTTTAAATGAGAGAAAAAAATTATTAAACACGATAATTTACGAACAAATTAAAGTTTTTTTTAGAGCGTTACACAAAGTAAAATCTATTAGTCCCTCCTTTTTCGTAATCCCCCGATCTCCCTCTAAAAATTCGCCTCCTCCGTTCCAAAAGTCCAAACACGCACAAAGAAAACCACGCGAACATTCACAGAAGCTGAGGAGGAGGAGCTCTGTGAATTGCAATGGCGTCTATTTTGTAGATCTCGAAACCCTATCTTTTTTCTCTGCGTTTTAAAGATTCTTGATATTCTTCTCAAGATTCTTCTTCGTTTCTCTCAAGAACGAGCTAGCCACTGGTGAGAGCTTCGTTTTCGTTCAGTTTTTTTTTTTTTTGGAACTCTTATGGTTGATTCTTGGTCCTGATTCTGCTACTTTTCTTTGTCTTGATGGAACTAGAATTTTTGGTTCTCTTTAAACCAGTTCTCGCTGGTTTCTGTGCTGATTTGGCCGGCATTTTGCGTTCTGGTTTGTTACGGATCGAGTCTCCGGTGGTTCTGGTACTGTTTCTCTTTGATTCATTCGCATCCACGTGATTTGATTTGGTTTGGTGAAATTCGAATGCGTATTTGAGGTTTTTTTTTGTTAGACTGCGATTTAGTTTCGCCTTTGTTGCGTTTCAGTGGTCTCGGAGGAGTCATCTAGGGTTTGTGATTTTGGTTTAGTAGATAAGGAAGATGGAGGAGTCTATTTAGTGAAGGAAGAGAGGTGAGAAAGTGAAATGGAAGATAGAGGAGAATCGTTCGTCGCTGTTCGGAGAATTTCTCACAGTCTCGAGCGAGGCAACGCCTGCCATTCAACCTCTGGTATTACCTTTTCTATTAACTTTATTGTTTCTATTTAACCTTTTTTCAAAAAAGGAAACAGTAGCCTTTCTCTCTGCCTCTGGAAGGTTCCGCTGCGATTCTCCTTTTTGTTTCCTGTAGCTGGTAGAGTTCCCTCCTGATATTATTATTATTATTATTTTCCTTTCCTAAATGAAATTCGGATCTGCAGATTGAGCATTTGAGGTTGTAAATCATGTACTGTGAACTTTGAGTGTTTCCGATGTGTTCAGATTTACTTATTTGTTTGGGTGAGTTAACCTGTTTGATGTACCCTGTAAGATTGTAGAATATAAACCTATATTATGCAGTGGATCCTGGATTTACTAGTATAATGCTATTAAGATTCTACTTCATGGGTAAAGCCAGTATAATGTTCCGTTGTATGGATATGAAAGCCTAGCATCATACATGATTGCGGAGAAAGAGGTCAATAGAGTAAATTAGGAGCCCCTTTTCTATGCTCCATACTGTTATGCATCCATGTGGAAGCAACTCCTGTTGTTTAATCTTAGTCATTTGCCTTGATATTGTCATTAATTGGTTTTGCCTCTTGCAGTACCAGTCTCTTTTAAAGTCTTCTAGCATTGCAGTTGAGTATTTAGAGAATGTGTTTTCATTAGTAAACTGTTTTATTTTCTTCAGCTGAGGTTGTGGCAGGATCAGCAGCCTGGTTGGGCCGAGGCCTTTCTTGTGTTTGCGCACAGAGAAGAGAGAGTGATGACCGTCCTTCATTTGATTTAACCCTTGCCCAGGTAATGTTTGCATTTTGATCAACCTTAAAAAGACATCATTCATATGGCTTTTATACATTTATATAATGTTAATGCTGCCACTGAAAATGAGGCTGGCTGCTGCTTTTGTTAAACTGAGTAGTAATCAATCTTGGCCCCTGTGATATTTTATCTCCTCTTGGTTTCTTTTGCATAGGATTCAGAAACATCTATTATCTTTTTGTTTTTTCATGTTGTCAGGAAGAATGCTTGCAGAGGCTCCAGAACCGTATAGATATTGCATATGATAGTTCAATTGCTGAGCACCGGGTATCTATTCCTCAATTTTGATGGTGCAAAAAAAAAAAAAAAAACAAAAAATGTCATCATCAACTCTGAAGTACAAAAGAGGCATTCTAGCTTTTTTATTCATTGATGTTCTCCTACAGGATGCTTTGAGGGCTTTATGGAGTGCTGCATTTCCTGAAGATGAACTTTGTGGTTTAATATCTGAACAGTGGAAGGAAATGGGTTGGCAGGGGAAAGATCCATCAACAGATTTTAGGTAAGTTGGTCCTGCATTATTTCTGGTCTTCTTTGCTGTTCTTTTTATTTCTTCTGTACAAAATGAGTTTATGTATGGCAATTTTCATCTTTTTTTTTTTCTTTTTGATATTTGGGATTTATTGCACAGGGGAGGTGGTTTTATATCATTGGAGAACTTATTGTTTTTTGCTAGGAATTTTCCGGTACGTGCTCCAGTGTTTTGCATTTTCATGATGCTTTTACTTCATTTACATTTTGATAGCAGTTCTGATGTCTGCAAGTTGGAAATGTTTTCCTAACAATTACTTATTTAAAGACATGCGCTACTGCAGGGGGTACTTCTAAACTTTAATTACCAACATATAATGAGTAATTCTTTTCAAATTCAAAGTAGATCACACTGTTGAAATGATGCTAAAAAAATGAAAACCTTAGTTGTTTGATGTTAAAAAGGTGTAATGTATTATTTATATAGCTATTGTTGAAATTGTTGGTCTTTAGAGAAGCACCTTAGTTGTTTTTATTTTCTTATTTACAATTTAGTTTTTGGCGAGTCCACAATTTGTATGTATTTTTGGTGGTTGCTTTATTCAACCTGAACCTTTTTATAATCTTTGAACGCAGAAATCTTTCCAGGATCTCCTTCAAAAGAGAGAAGGGGATAGATCTGCATGGGAGTACCCCTTTGCTGTTGCTGGCGTTAACATCACATTCATGCTCATTCAAATGCTTGATCTTGAAGCAGGTTTCTTTCTTCTCATCCTCTACCATCCACCCTCCAACAAACAATATATCTGTTTATGTTGGAAAAGACCTAAAAGAGCATCTTTGAAGTTACGAAACATTTCTGAAACCAACCAAAAGAATTAATCCTGCAGTTTTCTTCATAGCATAATCCTACTTTAGTTTGTTAAGTGCACCTGTTCATCTCATGGTAATTTACTCCCTCGTGTGTGAATAGCTACATATGCATAGAAAACATGTTAATGGTGATGATCTCATTTCTTTTTTCTGTGCATTTGGATGTCTGCAGTTAAACCCCGCGCAATTGTTGGAGCAACTTTCTTGAAGTTTCTTGCAGGTGATATTAACATGTTATTGATTTTGATAATTTTATTGTTTAAAGTTCCTATGAAAAATGAATCCAAAGATTTTGTGACTGAAAATACTTTTGCCTTCTGTCTGGATAGAAAATGAGTCAGCATTTGACCTTCTGTACTGCATAACATTCAAGCTCATGGATCAGCAGTGGCTTTCTATGCGAGCATCTTACATGGATTTCAATGTATGTCTTCTTCAACAAAAAAGTTCCTTCTACACACTTGTAGATGTTTGGTATACTTTCAATTAGTTACCGTTTTTCCTTGCATATTGTTGTTTGTTTTACAGACAGTGATGAAGGCCACACGACGTCAACTGGAAAGGGAACTTCTAATAGAAGATATAATCCGGTTGGAAGAGTTACCCTCATATGGCCTTCTTTCTCGATAGTGTTGCAGCTCTGAAGAGTTATAGGTGGCTTGTAATGGATGGAAGAATGCTGTAAATTGGGGACATCTATTTTGCTTGCCATCTCCTTGTTTGCCATCTCCTTGTTTGCAGCTAGATCATGTACATGTGAAAGCTTATTTTAAAGGCCGTTTGCCAGCCTTCCATCTGATTGTTTAGGAGAAAAAGATTTCTGATCGATATCGGCATTCTGTCCAAATATGAACAGGCAGAGAATTGTTGAGGAGTCTGTAATGTTGAGGAGAATAGCAGTAACTGATTCCTCTTGCTGATATGAGATTATATTTGTTTGGTACCTAATTCACACCTTTACCTTCGACAACTATGATCACCTTACCAGATAATGGCTGGAAATACAGAATGCCCCACTTGAAATAAAAGTCTTTAACTCATCATTCATATAAGATAATGGCACTAAAATCATCACAAAAGCAGCCAGTCCAACCACTAGGTAAAAAGTTCAACTTGTCTTTAGTTCAGAAACACAGTACCCAAAACAAATATTAATGTAACCACAAGCAGCAGCTGACCCTCTTCAACAAAGCATATGTCTACTCATAGATCCATGGATGAAGGCTGCTCTGCCAGTTGACAGGGCCCTCGTCAAACCACAATGCAATTTCCTTCCTTGCACTCTCAACCGAATCGCTCCCATGAATAACATTCCTGCAAGAAAGGCAGTTTCTCCCATTTAGATACGCAGAGATCCCTCATCCATGATACACATAAGAAGCAAGAAGGATTTTTACCTTCCAATATCAATTGCAAAGTCACCACGGATGGTTCCAGGAGCAGATTCAGCAGGGTTTGTGGCTCCGATAATCTTCCGTCCAGTGGCTACAACATTCTTACCCTCCCATATCATAGCAACAACGGGGCCAGAGATGATGTACTCAACAAGACCATTGAAGAAGGGCCTTGCAGAGAGATCGGCATAGTGCTTCTCCGCAAAGGATCGGTCGACAGTGATGAGCTTCAAACCTGAAGCCAAATACCACACAAGGAACGCATAAGCAAAATCCATCTAATTTTTGTCAACCCTCACCCCATTTTAGCTTAGGGATAACAAAGATAACAAAGATGACCTTTCAAAGTGAAGCCTTTCTTCTCAAATCTGCCAATGATATCACCAACCTGAAACACACACTAGGGTTAACCCAAAATGGAACATAAAACACATCAAAATGAAAAGAAAAACCCCTTTTGTAACCCTTTTATATCAGAAAATTTCTGATGCAGGACCGATGATCCATGATTGTTCATTCGAAAGAT